GTGTGTGTGTGTGTGTGTGTGTGTGTGTGTGTGTGTGTGTTTATTTATTAAAAAAAGCTAATTTTAAATTAATGATTTATTTTTTACTTTTGTTATGTTATAATAATTAGAAGGAAAATTTGTTACTAAAAAATTGCTGATGCTGAAAAATAAAAAAAAAAATATAAGAAATGTTTACAGTGATGAAATAGTCCACAGTTACATCACATCCACAGTTTCACTGACTTACATCAAGTAAGTCCATTGCGGAGAATATCTGGATGTAACCTAAATACTATAATAAACATTCGAGTGAAAACATTCTTCATCGAACGTTACACGCGACGATATCGATGGAACACCCGGTATTACTGGTTTAGAATTGTCAAAGGTTCGATACAGAAAAGTCGTTGCGTCCTCACTATTGTCGCGTATCCTCGTCTGTGGATACTAAGGGTACTATCGTGGCGGCGTATATATCCTGCGGCCGATGTCCTTTCGATTCCGCACGAATTTTCCCCGCGCACCACCACACGGAAGGGAGGGTTTTCACTGAATGCTTGTCAGGAGCAGAAGACATCTTTTGTAGCGGGCTAGTGGTCCGGAGAAAATTGTGTGTTGTACTCTTCGATATCTCGCGAATGAAGACGCCCTCCGTTCCTTTCTTCATCCAAACTAAACTCTCGCGCTTTCTCGGTTTTCTTGCCGAGACATTTCTTTTTTCAAATAATTTTGTTATCACTAATACTGTCTTTAATACCATGTAAAATATCAATTACATAAATCTTTTACATAAATCTTTTATGATTTAAAAGTATATCTTCATATATTAGAAATTATGTGGTAAAAATTGTTAATTTATATCATGTTTATTAATTTTATAATACAAATAGATATTTAATTGCATGACATAATATGATCATCTAGTAATTATCATATACAATTATTCCATAATTTCTATATTTATATCTAATCTAATTCTATATCTATTTCTAATAATTATTCTATATATAAGTAACTAATTTTGTAGTGTAATTAAAATCGATTCAAGTATGTTAAATAAAACATTATAACTAAAATTAAAATAAAATCATTATCAAAATCAATTAATTTACTTTAAACATTTAAATAAATTATTTATTTTAAGTGTAATGATGATTATTATTATCTATGAATTTTATCATTGAACTTATTAATTAATTGATTTATTGATATATAAATGTTTCTTTTATGATATATAATATTTTATGAAATATAATATTATATATCAGAATTTTTATATAAAAAGAATATATTTTTTTATTAATTTAATAGAAAATTAGTAAACTTAATAATAGTAAACTTAAATAAACAATTGATTTTAGAAGAAACTATTTAAAAAATGTTTACAATAAAACTTTACTCTCAATATAAAAGAAAAGTTTGATAAATCAATCATTTACGTTTCTTCTGCGATCATATAGAATATCATCGATGCTTTCCGTGCGCATAAATGTAAACGTATGAGAAAAACGCTATTGCAGTCGATTTTTTTTTTTTTTGAAAGTTGAGTGTCTGGTTTACGACATTAACATTGTCAAACGGCGGGGAATGAGAAATATCCCGAGAAGGGAGAGAAGTAAACATACGGTAGGTAAAAGTGTGAACGCGTCCGTTACGATAATAGCTGCGATTAGAGTTGCGATGGCATATGGATGGCGCGGATTTTAATGCGGCTCTCGAGTTCACGGAGCCTCCATATGTACATTGGTAGGGTTTGAGATAAAGTTGTCAGTCTGGTACCTACGTAAAAGCGATGAATTTTAATAATAGATTTATGCGCATATGTCGAGTGCAAAGGCGCGCCATTATTACTTTCACACGCGTGTCAGCCAAATAATGATGCTTACCTGAGAAACATATTAAAATTACTATTTGCGATATCAAAGCTCGACATCAAATTATTATTTATTACAGAATATTATATTATTATCCAAAAATTGGTCCAGATAAATCGTAACATAAATTGTTTATTTAAAAATTATTAAAGCTAACGATAAGATTTATTTCTAGTGTTTTAAATTATATTATCCAGAGATGCATGATATAATCTCCTAATTTTTCTTTTAAATAAGATCTTCCTTATATAATATTCATCCTTAAATATTATCTTAAATCGATTCTTATGATTTTATACAAACTGAGAGAGTAATGGTAGGAATGGTAGGAATATAATGAAATCATTGAAAAATGAATGACCTTAAGATATATTTAATGTTTTATTTATGACATTGCCCAAGACTTCTAAAAAGATTCTAAAGATTTCAAATTTTTGAAAAGATTTAAACTTGAATATAACTTGAAAAATATGGATTTAAATCTAAAAACTTGTCACAATCTTTTTCATGAAAGAAACCACCATAGTAATTATTCAAATTTAATAGTAGCTTTTGTTCACTATTTTTTATTTCGCGTAATGATAAATCATCTTTTATTTTGTCTTGTTTACTAGCCATAATATAACCATAACGCTTCACTCTTTCTTTATTAAGATTTCAATTTGGATCAGTAAGTCATTTATAACTTTATAAACCTCGTCATTTCGCCATATTTTTAAAGAGTTTACGTTATCACGTTATTCGAATGGACCCCTCGAAAAACATTTTTTTACTAATGGCTTCGGTCTGGCAACCCTTCAGTCGCGACTCTTTCAGTCTAGGTACAGCCCTAACTTAACTACCCTTTTTGCGCTCCCCTTGGCACACGTATAATTGAACATGGGTACGTAAAGCAACCCCCCCCTGTTCGTATGTCAATAGTCAAAAACGAGAGCCCGTAATTCGGTGAACGTTCGGCTCCGGAAGAAAAAGAAAGATGGAGGACAGTGAAACGCCTATAGAAGACATAAATTCTCTACCAATAATATCATTGAACATTTGACGAACAATAATTGTAAACATTGTTTAATGTATGGATATTAATGAGTAATGTTATATAAAATTATTTAATGGGAATTTTTAAAATCAGTCAATTTAAAATAATAA